TCGTTGCTAATTTTTCAATCTCTCTTGCTTCCAAATTACCTAATGTCTCTATAACAATATAGAGTGATTTTGAGGGCCCAGCTAGGGTAATTTCTTGCTCCGACCTTGTAATCAATAATAAAAGAGATGAAGAATTGTGTTTTTTATTTATAATTCGCTGATTTTGTTATAAAAATTTCATCATGTTCGCACAAAACACAAAATAAATAAATAAAACTCGAAATTCAGGTTTCAGGCTTCGAGGTGCACATGTTCAGGTGAAGGACTATCAACGATCAACATCTGGTGGTTCTAATTACCGCCGTTTTCCCACAATGTAAGGAAAATAAATACATACATAAAAACAAACAGAACAGATGCTTCCTTATTAATACGAGTAATAGAATAATTGAATAATATGATATTATATAAGTAATATTAATTCGTTATTGAACAATAGAGTTGCGATCATGTATTTTTTACGTTTACATTTCAATTATTTTGTAGTACTCGTAATTCTGAGCACGCAGTTGTTAAAACTGTGGAACTGACGGAAGGTAAAACGCGACTACATGCTTATAGAAGTTTACCTACCAAGCCTGAGCAACATTTCGCGATTTCTCAGCAACTTGGGGACATTTTGGAAGTTTTCAGAAAACGTTATTTTATGAACCTATGACCGAGTTTTCTACATTGTTCTCGCCTCTTTTTGGCTGTGGTATGTATAAAATGATCTGAGGATTAGTCTGCTTTATCCGTTATTTATGTTGTAAAGTTTATGTTACTTCCTTTGTAAAGTTAAATTCAGCTTGTTTTAATCTTGATTCTAATTTACCCTGCTAGATTACCGGCCGAATCTTTATCGCGTCTTTAACTAGCAATACCCGTATAGTTATTCCATTAGCATAGTACAAAACGGCAGGACCGGAAGAAGTGGATGAGTCACAAAATCGCACCATTGGTTATACAGTTACAATTCCGCCTCAGTTTTGATCGAGAAAGCACCTGATGGAATGGATCCCAGAAACTCACATCCCCTTTCTCTTATCACCGATCCGCTCAAGGGGGTTTTCGGTTCTGCGCTATTTTAGGTGCCCCTATGCTGCACATACAGTATACACTTACAAAAATCAAAGGCTTCTTCTCAAACCGAGCCCAACGATATGGCAAGCCAGCATCGCTAACCACTATACCGATCAAAGCAGCAAGTAAATGAACCAGAAATAAACAACTAAAGATTTATTGCCTTCTGCAACTCGAAGTATAAGAACTAAATCAGGGATTCCCAGCCGGAACGGTTTATTTCATCGACACGCCCTACGTTTTTCCATATAATGTACAGTATAAAACATGATCATAATATGAATAATTGCAAATAAATAACTTAAGGATTAAGTATATGAACAATTATTTTAAGGAAAATGGCTTATTAGATTTAGGTTTATTTTTTTGCATTATTATTATTTTTAATTTTACAAATATTAGCAAGGTTTTAGAAACAAATTCACAGATTCTAACTGCACAAAATTTCGATATTAACTAATGCGATGACTGCGCCTGATGTATCGATTTAATTTTTTTTAAATATTTGGCGTAAAACTGCTTAATTAAGTTTTTAAATCCCTTTAGTCAAAAATATCTAGCTTGTTTTTTTATTTTTCGAACTAGTTTGGAGTTCTTCGCATTTTTTATTGTGTTTCCTTGTATTCTTCTGTTTTACGTTTTCATAATGCAGTTACTTCGTAAAAAGTTTATAGAATTAAAAAAGATATTATAGGTTTTAAAACGTATTAAATAATTTTAGTGTATTTTTTCCTTACTTATTTTGTGCGATTGCTTCTTTACTGCATCACGCAGCTTTACATCTATGAACAATAAATTAGCAATTTTATTATTATTATTATTATTGATAATCGTTGGATTTTGATTATGCCACAGTTCATATTCCGCCACCAATCGATACCTTGATCAACGTAAACCCCTTTTAAAATTTCATCGACCACCCAGGGGGTTTATATCGACCCAGTTAGGAACTCCTGAACTAAACTAACCAATGCAAATTCGCTTCCATTTCTCATGCAAATGACAAATAATAGTGAGTTAAATAACACATAATTCAATAGCTTATGTTTGGATCCCAGAGCGTGGCTGTGCTAATTTCACGACTAATACTTAATATTCGATCAAAGAGGAAATTCACCAGCTAATAGAAAGACACTTCATGCCGAACAGCAGGAAAACAGCTTTTTTATGGCCGTCTGTAGTTTCCAATTATGTTTCTTTGAAAATTGAACTCTTAGTCACATTTAAGGCTCTTTTTATTTATCTATTTTATCTCTTCTAATGGGATAGACGAAAGAGCAGGAATATAGGACAGACTTTTAACATAAGCAGTAACATGTTACATTAAAAAAAATTGCAATTATTAACACTGTAAGATTAAACTTCTAGAGGATGGTAAAGAAAATTTAAATTTGTTTTCAATAAAATTACAAAATTTAAATAAATTGCTTCCAATGAAATCTCAAATAGGATCACTTAATTTTTTAAAATAATACGTAATATAAACCTAATTAAGAATTTATTAATAGTACATAATTTTATTTCATATTACAAAATTTAAATAAATTGCTTCCAATGAAATCTCAAATAGGGTCACTTACTTTTTTTAAATAACACACAATATAAACCTAATTACTAAGTAATTAATAGTACATACTTTTTTTTTTTGTAAATACTATATAAAAATACAAAGTGTATTATTTCAGTAATAATATAAATAGTGCACAATTTGTTTTTGTAAAACACTAAAAAGAATGTAGGTTTTTATCTTAACTATCATTCCTCCCCCCCTTTTCTTTAAACCCTATCCTATTGAAATATTTGATATTTCCTTGAATTCTGATAAAAAATAATAAATTTAATCTTAAGTAAAAATACGTTTATATGGCTTATTACAGTAGCAACTATAGCTGCAGGGGGACGGACAGCGAATATTAAACGTATAAGTACAGCATGCGTTTTTGGAGCTATGCATCAGCTCAGGAATACCGCACACTGGTACAGCACGTATCATTGAATCGAAATTTATTGCTTTATGACAAGAGCATTTATTTGAATTATTTAAATTTATAATTTTATCAAAGATATTGTATAAATTTATTTTATTTAAATGCAAATAAGTTATTAAGAATTTATTTAAAAAGTATTTCTTTTTTTTTAAATCGTTATTATTATTTTATTATTATTATTATTTTTTTTTGTATTGAAGTTGGGTGCCTAATAACAGCCACGCGGCAAAGTCGCTGAATACTTGTAGTTCGACATGGGATCGAATCCCGGCGAACGGCCTAGTTGCATAGTTGGTTTTCGTCGTTTTTCCCTTGTGTAACGTGGATACGAGCAAGTTTTCTTTCAGAAGTTCTTGACGAAGGCATCCCTTCCCATAAGCAGATAGCGCTCCTGATGTGTTGCTTAATCAATCAACATAAACTAACCTGTATTCAGGTTGAGCCCCTTCGAATCACAGGTCCTAGGCTTTTATCTTATTCGACTATTAGTTAATCCGCTACTGTTTATTAAATTGGCAACTTTAATCACCAAGGTTTTAGTGAATTTTTTAAACATCGTCAAAGGCTTAGTTGTGGCGATTTTAATCAGAAAGACTGAGTTCACCATGATTTTAGCCTTTGGCTTTATCAGCAGTTCTGTGAATTGAAAGATTCTTATTGAGCTAAGGAGAATTCCAGTGTTAATCTCTGCTCTCCGCAGCTCTCTTGAGTTGTTTTTCTGCATCTGTAAAAACTGTTATCCCTTAAAGCTGTAATATAATTTTTCTTTTATCATCTAGGTTAATATTCACGTAGAAAAATTTTTTGATAAACCTGCAAAAGTATCAGTATTAAAAAGCTAAAGTACAAATATTAATACAACCAAATGCATTTGATGCAGAATAACAAAAAATAAAAAAATACACCCCTCAAAAACTTAAAAAAATTTTAAAAAAATGGATTCATTTTGCATTAAAATATAAGAATCAGACATCAAATCCCAGTGCAAAAAGTGACTTGTTTTATCAAAAAAATACTAAAAAAATTTCATTGAATACTGGTTTGCTTTTTTAACATTTAGAAATATCCTTTTTTTTTTCAAAACGTAAGAAAACCATATGAATATATATATGAATTAAATTGCCCTTCGAGAGGAAATAATATGCCATTAATTCAAGATAACCAAAGTGGTACTAAATATAAGATGTATTTACATGCTTATTCAAATTTCTTTTGCTGCATGTTTAGTCGAAAAGAGCTATTAGTCTCGAAACATGATTTTCGTTTCACTGTTCATTCGAGTCTGTTGTCATTCGACAGAATGAAAAATATTTATTTTTGGAACTAAATCTGTCTGTTATGGATTGACAAAAGCAATAAATGCATTTCTTAAGAATATTACTAATTTATTTTTAATCTCATTGATTGCATTTAATTCATGATACATCTAATTAAAATCATTCAACATTTTTATAAAATGGCATATTATGTTCACATTTCACTTTTCAACTTTTATCATTTTTGACCGAAAAATGAAATTTGCTTTCTAATAAGCTTAATCTAGACTATTAAAGTAATAGTTAATTGATTTTGTTGAGCAAACCAGAGCGGAGAACAAAACGAAGAAACATGTCATGTAATCAAGCTAAGGTAGTATTTATTTTCGAGATTTAAATTCTTAAATGCATGTGCTGAAAATAAATTGAAGTCTCAGCGTCGTCTTAAGCCGTATTTGATAAAAATAAATTTTGTAAAAAAGAAAAAAATTAAAAATGTCCTGCCATTAAAAAAAAAAAAAAAAAAAAAAAAAAAAAAAAATAGGGAAAAGAGAAGTACGGTGTAAAAATAGAATTTGATTAATTAACGAAATAAATGTACAATACAATAAAGGATATTGTAGTGGAATTATTTGACTATCAGGATAAAATCATTAGCAAAATAAACAAATGTAAAAAAATGAAAGATTTATACCTGCTGTATAATAAAGGATTTCATTCACAATACGAAGTCGCCTCGTCCAATCTTTGGGTGCTACATACACCGCCAGCAGGCGCTGCGCATGAAACGGAGCCCAGCAGATGAAGAAGGCAATCACTACAGCAACTGGAAAACAAAAACATTTCGAATTAAACAAAAGCATCTCAAAGTAAACCAAAAATGTCAAATATAATGAAAGGTACGCAAGTAGGGGAAAGTGGTAGGTGTTTCCATCGAATAAACATTAAATACATTTTAATAACTCTCATTAAACTTTCAGGGCTTTGACTATTTTCACTAACTTAAGACCACTCTCATCGTAATAATGGTTAGCGATGCTGGCTGCGCTATCGTTTTGAACGTGTATGTAAAGAAGGGAAGCTTCCATAGACGTAATGTAAGCCAGTCTGATTACTGCGCCACTAAATTGTGAGGGGACAAATTTTTGTGACCAAATCGTCAGGTGTGCAAGAAATTAATGAATGTGGAACAAAATCAAAGAACTTATAAGATTCGTTCTTTGACACAACTTTTCGCGATAATATTTAAACTCGTATTTACGTAGACATTTTCCCCTCAAAATAAATAATCCATTAATTAATCTACTTGCGCGGATCACTGATTTGATTTACTTCGACAGGGGGTGAAAAATGGTATCACAGAATTCAGAACTCTTGATAAATATAAATATGACCTTGTACAACGGCTAGACAATTATTTGGCGTATGCGCGAAAAGGTATTAAAAACTGGATCTACTTCGGCACTGGTTCGATAGCTATTTCGCGCATGAGCAAAAAGGTATTAAGTCTGGATGGATAGCTCCTTTAAAGTAAACTTTGAAAAGTATATATTTCCCTCTGCGATCTTACGGAGTTATTCTTGCATTGGCGAAGCTTTCATTCTTAACATATACGATCTTCGACTCGGCTTCAAATCCTGGAGAAGGTTTGGATATTTTTGAAAGTGCGTAGTGTCTTTGTGGTATGTTGACACTTAAGGCTTTATTCAGACGACAGTTTTGCCGTCATAAAGCTTTGTGGTTTAATGCATAAAAGTCATTAAATCATACTTGTTTAGCAAGGTTTAAGCCACATCCAGTCAAGGAAGGGAAAGCTGCACATGCGTAAATGTATAGCTGACTCAGTGAAGCCATCAACCGATGTTTGCTTCGCTGTAATTGGTGGTTCTCGCATCAACTTGGCATAAAGTTTAAAAATTAGAACCTTTAGGCAAATTACTTAGACCAGTTTTTTGTGACGTAGCAACGAAGCTCGGCTTAAACCTGTTATGACTTTAAAACCAGTGTGTGAACGAAACTAAAAACATACGGCGAGCCGAAATTACTGTCGAATTGGTGGCAATAGGTGGGGAAGTGTAGAAGACTCTTGGACCCTTTCTCCAGAGATTCTCCCTCATAATTGTGATATAACCGGCAAAGTTGTACTATCACTTATAAGGCGCCCAAGGCAAATGCAAAGGACAGTCGTAATCCTGCGCTCCTAACCATGGCAGAATTCTCATATTTCTGTCTGACAAATGAGATAAGTCTCCAAAATTAACAATCTGAAGTAATCCTTGCTTGCTTTAGGCAGCTTTTGAAATAAACAGTTACATACGCACTTAAATTTTAAAATAAAAAGCTTAAATGTGTCCTAGCCATTGCCTGGGCTCAGGAAATAAAAGGCTATGAGAAGTCGTGTATGAAGTCGTGAAACGTCTGCTCAATAAATTACTGATTGTAATTTAACTTACGTATGTAGAAAAGCGTGCTTGTCTGTCTTCTCCCTTAACTTTTTAAATGAAGTGGATTCAAAATTATTTTGACTTGCACTGGTAAAATATCGTTCCCTTCAGATTTAGGCATACATCTCTTAAAACAGCAGACGTTCTAATTCCCTAGGTCGATCATCATGTGGTTCCACCAACGACCGAGCGGTAAAGTTGCTGAACACCGGGAAGTCTGACCTGGGTTCGACTGTGCATGGTAGTTTTTCCAATTAATAAGGTGGATACGAACCAATTTCCATCAAATTATTTTACTAAAGCATATCTTCTCATAGGTAAGTAGGGTAATAGCTGCTTTGCCTAAATCAATTAATTTGACCACACCGGTCGTCATATCGGCAAGCAAGAGCGGAAAGAAGTCTCTAAATATTAATGTTCTGAAATCCAGTTCCTCAGTTATACAAGAATTTTCATGCTAAATGCTTTCATGCAGATAATAAATTACGTATATGTTGTGATAACTGTGAAAAAATAACTTTAATTACTTTTCGAATTACGTTAGATAAGGGTTCGTAAAATAACTAAATAAGTAACAAAGATGAAAGGGTTCACAGTTCAGTGGTTACCCAAAAGAGCTCTTTTAAAATTTAATGTGATTTATCGGTACAGATTTTCAATCAAGATGGCCCAGGTGGGAGAGTGGAACATTTTATAGCACATAAGATGAATAGACACTTAGACCAGGTATTGCCAGACTTTTTCTTGCGATCCTTATAAAAAATGACTTTCTTTATCAATCCTCGTTACATTTTTTGTATTTTAATATATATTTTAATATATTTTTTGTATTTTAATATCAGGATTAGCTAATGCATTTCAACTGTTCTTTGGGCCATCCAAGTATATTCAAATTATCAATGTTTTGAAAGCGAGCAATAAAATTTTTTTGTTGATTTATTTCCTTTACATTAACTTTATATAATTTTTTCCTCAATTAATTATCAATTTTATAATGCGTTTTTGTAATCAACGCAATCTTGTTTATGCCGGATAATTTCTGGCACATATTGTGCTATAAAGCCCAAGTCGATCCTTTGATCAGCATTTCACCATTGACCCCCTTTAAAATTTCTTCGATACCCAGGGGGTCAATATCAACCTGGTTTGGACCTAGTTTGGAATCTCGGGACTTAGACAAACATGACAGCCTTATCTGCTGTATATTTGAAAAGTGAGAAATAAATAATTTCATTCAATAAAAGTATTAAATGTTTTCAATTAGATATATCATAAATTACAGAGTATCGTATTCTTAGGTAACATAAATTAACGAGATCTGGAAGACTGTGTGAAGAATTATCCTCAGGTCTTAGTTGCAACAAAAAGTCAGAAGAAGGGTGTAAAGAACCCTTTACTTAATCAGTATAATTTCACAGATGGTCCCACGTGGGCGTATACAAAGCCAACACTTGTGGCTTACCTCAAAACAGGTAACGATGAACTTAAAATAAAATATAATATGTTTAGCCTAATAGCCCACAGGATAATTTAACGCGCAGGAAGGTTCTGACTCGTAGAAGTCGCCGTAAACAAACCTCATGGCTAGAAGCGCTCTACGTCACAGAAATCTAATCGCTAGTAATTCAAGATAGCAACGTGGCCTTCAAACAGGCATAACATTCTCTGAAATCACCTTCCAAAAACGTGCCTTACATACTATCTGATTCTTTCTGCCTTATTTGAATACACGCGGGCTAACTTATTAAAATCCTGGCAAGAAAGCGTGGGCGAAAATGAGAATAAAAGGAAAGTTGTTTTGAAATATAAAATTAACTGTTAGCTAAATTAAATGCATCTCCACAAAACACCTTTTTATTTAAAGCAATTAGATTAAAAAATGAAAAAAAAATCTTAGGAATTGCAAGAATGGCTTTTATGTAGCTTAGTTTGTTAATGAAAAACATACAGAGTCATTTTAAAAGTTTACCAAATGGCAACAAACTGTCATGAACAGTGAAATAACGCATTGACAATGGACGACATTTAAAGTAAATCAACGAAAAATCTTATTTCGTGACGTAGTGCGCTGACGTAGAGCCATTTTGGGCTGAAAAAGTGCCCAAACAAAGTTGTCAGTACAAAGATAAGTTGTTAGCATTGTCAAAACATATGTCATAAAACGTGGTTGAGGAAACTTTTGTGCAAATCTGCAAATTTCAGAGTGAATAAATGTAATTAAAAGTTACGGAAACGAGGAAACGCTTTCTAATTTGATGGCTAACTATTCATTACCTAATGGGAAGTTACGAATAAATGTGCTTATTTTGGAAAAGATGACGTAATGTTGATCAGTTAGTGACGGCATATTGTGTTAAATACTATTAAAAAATTACTATACATGTTAATAATTAACTGCAATTAAGTTTTTTCTTCTGGAACCACTGTATCGTATTTTAAACAAATAACGAGTTATCGAAAAGGTATAACAACTAAATAGTAACTAAATTGCCTATAGGTACAGTATAAATCCCATTACTAATTTTGTAAAACATATTTTATGCCCTAAAAATACATAAGGTTCCTGTTTTCTTTCTTTCTTTCTTTTTTTTTTAATGGAAAAACAATTTTATATATGTGATGCTTTATATTTTTCTTCTACAGGTTTCACACAAAGGAAATTCATGTTTAATCTTTAATTAAGAAACAAAACGCAAATTAAACTTCTAGTTAAATATTTTATAAAACTTTATTTGATGACCTTAATTCCCGAGTATAATTAGTACGTTCACCTTTCTTTGCACTTTTTCTGATGATAAATGAGTTCTGCCATGCAGATTTAATTTGAAATTTTTTAAATTAAAATAATTAAATAATGAGCTGTTAAAGCAAACTAAACTAAAACTTTGTTAGACTTGAATTTGATTTTACAAGCATGCAAAGTGATGGTTCTAACGAAAATAACCATTATAATAAATAGAAAACGAAGATTTACAAACTGGTTAACGAATAATAAGTGACGGTAGTTTCATTGTACATTACCGTCTATCGAAACAATAATGAGATAATTACTCATTCACCTTAAACAAACTGACAAAGATGGAACGTACATCCTTACACACGAGTTCAGTCATTATTTTTATTTTTATCGTTTACCCTTTGAAGAATTTAAATAAATCTGCTTTATGCACGCAGACATCCTAGAATCCAAGTTCTGCTACAAATTTCGCTCGCATAGTTAAATAAATACTAGGTGGATGAAGTATACAGAAATTTAAGGAAGTAAAAAAAAATGCAACTATACAAGCTTCATCTTTCATGTTACCTAACTCCAAGGTGTTCCACATAAAACGCAATTCATATACAACGCGTATCGTAAAATATTAAATATGGGCAGAAGCAT